CCCACGCAATGCACGTTGGGAACTAGAAATCCCCTTTCCAGATTCAGAAAAGCTACATTAATGTTAAGGAAATTATTCATGTGGTTCCAATACAAATGGATTATGTAATCCGCTATTTTACCAATTTACCAAGTACTGTAGATTGTGAAGAAATTTTTACGAATTGTGTCGCTGTAGCCCATTTTAATTAAGTAGAAAAAAAGTGCATGGGACAAATTAGATTTTATTGAGGGTTCACGTCCCCAAGCTTATTCTTCACTGTTCTCTTTAAAAAACCGACCCATGAGCAATGGTAAATCACAGCAGTTGTTGTGTATTGCAGTGCAGGATCTAATGCTTGCTTTTTCTCTGTTTGATCCACAGATTGTGATCTTCACTAACTCCCCTAACAGGTGGGAGATGGTGATGATGCTTGAGCTTGAGTTTGCCTACGCCTTCTTACAAGCGCACTGAAGTGTCTAAAGTCTTCCCTTTAGCACGGCTTGAGCCCAATCCCTTTCCAACAAGTGAGACTGCTAAATAGGGATTGACCTGTAAAGTGTCCAGATCTTTGAGCACCATGGCTCAGAGGTCAACTCATTTCAGAGGTCACGGTCCCTCCTGGCCGCTTCATCTCACTCTACTGCTGCTTCTATTGGCCAGGACACACCAAGCTTTGGCTATCCCAGGTTACAACACTGACACCTCCAAGAAAGAGATCATAATCGAGGGGGACCTGGTGATTGGAGGCCTGTTTCCTGTTCATCAAAAGGGGGAGGGGGCTCAGGACTGTGGCCGTATCAATGCACAAAGAGGGATTCAGAGACTGGAGGCGATGCTGCTAGCCCTGGACAAGATCAATCAAGATGATCAGATTTTGCCCGGGGTAACGTTAGGTGCCCACATTCTGGACACTTGCTCTAAAGACACGTACGCACTGGAGCAGTCACTTGAATTTGTGCGCGCTTCGCTTACGAAAGTGGATGATAGTGAGTACACGTGCCCGGATGGATCCTACGCCGTCCATGACGATGTTCCACTTGCAATCTCTGGAGTGATTGGAGGCTCCTACAGTGATGTATCCATACAGGTACTGTTTCCCGTCTCCTATGTTAATTAATCTGCTTGTTTGTTTTCTTCCAGCAACATTTCTTGATAATCAGATCATATGTCGTGATGTAACAAGTCATAAATGTGCACGAGGAAACCTTTATTTGCATGTATATTATGTTTATCACACTATGGCTGTCATTCAGCCGTATGCACAAGCCTGCCGTTTAATTCAGTTACCCCTATAAAGCCTACTATATCATATTTGTTTGCAAATTTCTAAAGCCTCTAAATTATCAACATTATTATAACAGAACTTTCATCATAAAACTGAGCCTTTAAGTGTCAACTTACTAAGACATATTTTTGGGAGTGACAACTGACATTTATATGTATTTTATGTGAGTTTTCTGCTATACTGTTATAAAGATTTACAAGGTGTCCGAAATTCTTTTTGGCTATATAAATATCAGAAACTGCACCAAATTGAAAATTTTTACTCGGTATGGGCCTCTGAATATAGTTATTTTTTTCTTCTGGAGTTTGAACTCCATTTTCTTCTTTATCATGTATGAGCCATGAAAGCCTGATGTATCAAATATGATACTCAACAAAAACACATATGCATTTTTTTTTAAAGATTTGATCTAAAGGTTCAATAAACTGTTCTATTTTTAAATAGAATTTTATATATTATTTCAAGACTTTTAACATTTTAACAATTGTAATATTTGTATTTTTTTATGCCAGGCTTTACAGGGTTAAGCAAACAAGAAGATAATAATGTTTTGTTTTTTTTCAAAGTTTTGAGTTACATTGTTTTTGCGTCAAAAATACAAAAATAGTTCTAAACAAAGAACCGTTATGTATCTATAAGCAACACAATGTGGTGTTTCATTCCTGAGCAATTTTGTGTTTGTTTCGAATTCATTTCTGAATGAATCAGAATTTTTGTACAAATGAATTGAATGAATGATTCAATGCCTCATTTAATGCCTGAGTTAATTGTATTATTGCTAGATTAATGAGCATTATTGAGCGAATTGGGTGAATGAATGATTCAACGGCTCGCTCATAAAGAAAGTCACTTATTTCCTTTCTGAATGAAATAATGTTTTAAACGAATCGGTTGAATGATAGTTTGTTTGACTCAGTCATATAGAAAGTATCTTGCCATCACCTACTAGTGTAAGGATGTAACTTGCAGAAAGAGTGACTGAAAAATCCTTAATGTACAGTATTTATGTGTAATATATATATATATATATATATATATATATTAGTGTGAACATAACTAGATATCTTTAACTTTTAAAATCTCACTTCTGTGGGTTCATACTGCAGCATTTAGTAAGACAAATTTGCAGGCTCTTAATGAGAAAGAATAGTGCTAATGTCTGGCTACCTGTCATCCATATGCTCAACCCATCCAATTTGCGACCAACCATGTGGTGGTGTTTCCTGACATTCACTGGGATGTCAGGAGCAGATGGGCTGCAGATGCTAGCTTTAAAGAATCAGGACAGTGACAGCTTGATTACACTCTCCACAGATCTGCTGTCTGAAGATCTAAGTATGCTAAAGAGAGAGTGACACTGAAGAAAAAGTGTAATATGCGTAATAAATTGACTTGATCAACATTCCAACATTATGAAAGTTCATGCACTAATGAAAGTTCATATATACTCTATCATGGAAAAATCAGACTAGAAGGCAGCTGTGCTATTGGAAATTTGCTGCATTCCTGAAACCTTTATAGTATATTTTGTATCAAAAACTAAAAATAATTTATAGCATTTTAGTTCAGTTTGTTTTTGCAGTTATTCTAGTTGTTATTTGTATTTTAATTGATAACGATGCTTTTAATTTAATTGAGCTTTTTTTAATGACATTGCATCCAACATTATTTGTGCCACAGATATAAATTGTGTGGCTTTTTGAGGAGTGGTATAATGTTTTTTTTCTAAGTAACACAACAAGAACAAATGCCAAATTTGTCATGGACATCAAACTTGGAGCAATGCATCGTGGCATGCCAAGGTTGAAAATGTGCATATTTTCCTCACACAATGATGTTATATGGATTCAAAAACTAATGGAATATAGCACATAATATGAACTTTGATGGTACTTTAGGTGCTAGATAGCCCCTGGTCACAGTGTGCATTGATTTGTATGGACAAAAGCAGCTCAGAAATTCATCCTACAGTATAAATAAAAATGACAAAATTTTCGGGGGGTGGGGTACTTCTTTAAAGGAAATTATGGTTCTAAGTGGTGGGAAATGCACAGGAACAGGGAATCCCCAGTGACATGCTTTAGAAAACAGCTGCTAGATGAGTCTCACTCACACTAACCCTTCAAAAAAGAGCTCTCTCTACTGCCCAAAGTGTCCCTTAATAGCATGCGGAAAGAAACCGTGCATGCGACATATGCGTGAAACACCCCAACAGACTCCTGACATGAAGAAAACAGGAAGATAAGCAAGATAAATAAAAACAACGAATAGAGACGAGAGGAAAAATAAAGCAAAAACGAGTGGGAGAGGAAAGGAATTTCTGTACAATGATGAAATAAAATTTCATACACTCAACTCTCTCTCTTTCTTCTTGTCTATTTGTTTCTGCATTAATAATGCATTCCGTGTCCCTGTGCGGGCACTGCAGTAATTATGAGAATGAACAAATCTCTCCATCTCAGCTAATGACTCATATACTCTAACCAGAGCATGTATCTGACTGTCAGTGATTTTAATGTGTTATTTAAAAGCCTCCATTCACCAGCCAACACTGTTCTGTTGGGGGGATAAATAGTTAACTTGTTATTTAATTTCAGTAAGGCTTAACTTGTCAAATGTACTATTGGTAACAAGCACCTAATTACCTGTCACACCAAAAGCAACAATTCAAGAATTTTACAGTAATAAGGCAAGAAATCTCTCTCTTTCTCTCTCTCTCTCTCTCTCTCTCTCTCTCT